ATTTTTGGATCCAGGTAGAACCCTTTTGGGTTCCATGTAGAACCCTCTGTGGAAAGGGTTGTAAATGGAACGAAAAAGCTTTCTACCTGGAACCAAAAGGTTTCTACCTGAAACCGAACAGGTTTCTTCAAAGGGTTCTCCTATGGGGAGAGCCGAAGAACCTTTTAAGGTTCTAGATAGCACCTTTTTTTCTACGAGTGTAGAGCTATAACAACTACACTGACATGCAACTGTTGGAGATTTTTTTGTGGACTATGAGATAAAACTGAGTTAATCATGAACATATAGTTAACATTCTCTGTGGCTAGGCAATAACTTAATCCTGTGGCCTTTTGTCTCTCTCCTCAAACAAAGTGATAAAGAGCGGCGCCAGGGTTGAACAGAGTTTAAACTAAACATGAGTGTTTTTGCAAGTTAAGGGATTGATTGAGGGTATTACTATTGATTCTGAACTGAATGAAAGTCGAATTTAGCCGCCACAATTTAGCCGTGGAGCAATAAAAGAGCGGGAAACTGAAGAGGGAGGGATTTTAAAGCTAGGGTGTGTGGAGGGCACTATATAATGGAGAGAGAGAGGGAGAGAAGAGGCTACTCTGCAGACCAGCTTCCATTTATTGAAATTCAATAAAGTAAATCTTGATTCAACAAAAACTCTGTAAGAACTTTGATTGTTAATAAAGTATAGTGACGAATTTCCACAACACAGCTAGCTCTAAGAGCTATAGTAAGTGGAGTGGACTGACCTGTAGCTGACTCTGACTGAATTGACTGATTGTTGATGTCTCTCTAGGGATGCAGCAAGTACAGTGGATTGACTTGTAACTGACCCTACATCATGTCGATGACCTATACTGTAGTTGACTGTGGAGCTAATGCATTCAGACTGCCTAGAGTCATGTTCATGTTAATGATTTGACCTCTAATATGTGAGGTAATTCCCTTCAGCCTGTGTGGTCACATTGTGCCTTTGGGCGATTCCACGCCAGCGGGAGTGGAAAATATTTTTGGTATCTCAGACTGTTCTGGCAATTCTCACATAGAGACTTCATTGGGAGGAACGTTAGAAATGTTTTTTACATTTGTTTCACAAACCATTTTTGAGAAAATCGTAATGAAAGTGGCTTTTTTAGGCCCTTTTTAGACCTATTCATGCCTCCTGTAAGACACTATGATCTGTGAACCGTACATGATACAGACAACGTCTTGGTGTCGTTAAACTCCTTTATAGTGTGCTAATTAAAGTGACTAGTGTTCAATTTCTTAAAGTGGCCAGTGATTTCAATAGGCAGCAGCAGCCTCTAATGTGCTAGTGATGGCTATTTAACAGTCTGATAGCCTTGAGACAGAAGCTGTTTTTCATTCTCTCGGTCCCAGCTTTGATACACCTGTACTGACCTCGCCTTCTGGATGATAGCGGGGTGAACAGGCAGTGGCTCGGGTGGTTGATGTCCTTGATGATCTTTTTGGCCTTCCTGTGACATCGGGTGCTGTATGTGTCTTGAAGGGCGGGTAGTTTGCCCACGATAATGCGTTCGGCAGACCGCACCACCCTCTGTAGAGCCCTGCAGTTGCGGGCGGTGCAGTTGCCGTACCAGGTGGTGAAACAGCCCAACAGGATGCTCTCAATTGTGCATCTGTTAAAGTTTGTGAGGGTTTTAGGTGCCAAGCCAAATTTCTTCAGCCTCCTGAGGTTGAAGAGGCTCTGTTGTGCCTTCTTCACCACACTGTCTGCGTGGGTGGACCATTTCAGTTTGTCAGTGATGTGTACGCCAAGGAACTTGAACCTTTCCACCTTCTCCGCTGCGGTCCCGTCGATGTGGATAGGAGGGTGCACCCTCTGCTGTTTCCTGAAGTCCACGATCATCTCCTTTGTTTTGTTGACGTTGAGTGAGAGGTTATTTTCCTGGCAGCACACTCCCAGAGCCCTCACCTCCTCCCTTTAGGTGGTCTCGTCATTGTTGGTAATCAAGCCTACTACTGTTGTGTCGTCTGCAAACTTGATGATTGAGTTGGAGGCGTGCTTGGCCACGCAGTCATGGGTGAACAGGGAGTACAGGAGGGGGCTGAGCACGCACCCTTGTTGAGGATCAGCGAAGTGGAGATGTTGTTTCCTACCTTCACCACCCGGCCCCAGGAAGTCCAGGACCAAGTTGCACAGGGCGGGGTTCAGACCCAGGGCCTCGAGCTTGATGATGAGCTTGGAGGGTACTATGGTGTTGAATGCTGAGCTATAGTCAATGAACAGCATTCTTACATAGGTATTCCTCTTGTCCAGATGGGATAGTGTGCAGTGTGATGGTGATCGCATCGTCTGTGGTTCTATTGGGGCGGTAAGCAAATTGAAGTGGGTCTAGGGTGACAGGTAAGGTAGAGGTCATATGATCCTTGACTAGTCTCTCAAAGCACTTCATGATGACAGAGGGGAGTGCTACAGGCCAATAGTCATTTAGTTCAGTTACCTTTGCTTTCTTGGGTACAGGAACAATGGTGGCCATCTTGAAGCATGTTGGAATGGTAGACTGGGAAAGGGAAAGATGAAATATGTCCATAAACATACCAGCCAGCTGGTCTGCACATGCTCTGAGGACGCGGCTAGGGATGTCGTCTGGGCCGGCAGCCTTGCGGGGGTTAACATGCTTAAATGTCTTAATCACATCGGCCACGGAGAAGGAGAGGCTTACAGTCCTTGGTAGTGGGCCTCGTCAGTGGCACTGTGTTATCCTCAAAGCGGGCGAAGAAGGTGTTTAGCTTGTCTGGAAGCGAGACGTCGGTGTCGGCGACGTGGCTGGTTTTCCTTTTGTAGTCCGTGATTGTCTGTAGACCCTGCCACATACGTCTCGTGTCTGAGCCATTGAATTGTGACTCCACTTTGTCTCTATACTGATGTTTTGCCTGTTTAATTGCCTTGCGGAGTGAGTAGCTACACTGTTTGTATTCTGCCATATTCCCAGTCACCTTGCCATGGTTGAATGTGGTGGTTTGCGCTTTCAGATTGGTGCAAATGCTGCCATCTATCCACGGTTTCTGGTTAGGGTAGGTTTTAATAGTCACAGTTGGCACAACATCACCTATACACTTCCTGATAAACTCAGTCACCGTTTCAGTGTATTTGTCTAAATTATTTTCGAAGCTACCCGGAACATATCCCAGTCCGCGTGATCAAAACAATCTTGAAGCGTAGATTCCGATTGGTCAGATCAGCGTTGAATAGTCCTTAGCACGGGTATTTCCTGTTTGAGTTTCTGCCTATAGGAAGGGAGGAGCAAAATGGAGTCGTGGTCGGATTTGCTGAAAGGAGGGCGGGGGTGGGCCTTATAACCACCCCGGAAGTTCGAATAGCAATGGTCGAGGATTTTGGCAGCGCGAGTACAACAGTCGATATGTTGATAGAACTTCGGCAGCCTAGTCCTCAAATTTGCTTTGTTAAAATCCCCGGCTACATTAAATGCAGCCTCAGGATATGTGGTTTCCAGTTTGCATAAAGTCCAGTGAAGTTCTTTGAGGGCAGTCATGGTATCGGCTTGAGGGGGGCTATACACGGCCATGACTATAACCGAAGTAAATTCTCTTGGGAGATAATGCGGTCACACACCTCCGCCCTTCTGCTTCCCGGAGAGATATTTATTCCTGTCTGCGCGATGAACTGAGAACCCCTCTGGCTGTACCGATTTCGACAGAATATCCCAAGAGAGCCATGTTTCTGTGAAACAAAGTATGTTACTTGCTTTGATGTCTCTCTGGAAAGAAATCCTTGCCCGGAGTTCGTCGATCTTGTTAACCAAAGGCTGAACATTAGCGAGTAGTATACTTGGAAGCGGTGGGTGGTGTGCGCGCCTCCTAAGTCGAACCTGCAGGCCGCTCTGAGTGCCTCTCCTCCACCGGCGATGTTTTGGGTCAGCCGCTGGAATCAGTTCAGTTGCCCTGGGGAGAGCAAACAAAGGATCTGCTTCGGGAAAGTCGTATTCCTGGTCGTAATGCTGGTGAGTTACCGCCGCTCTGATATCCAATAGTTTTCCCCGGCTGTATGTAATGATACAAAACACTTTCTGAGCTAATAATGTAAAAAATAATACATAAAAAAAACAAAATACTCCAAAGTTTCCTAAGAGCTAGTCGCGAGGCCGCAATGTTCGTCGGCGCAAGGCATTTAACCACCACTTTACTAACTGATCCAGGGTCAGTTTGCGGTTTGCTCTTACTGCTACTGTTAACTGGTAGCCTACCCATTGACAGTCATCTTCTATTTAACCACTAGACCATTGAACTAAGCTTCTGGCTGGATCACAAATGCCTTTTTAATTGGCATTTTGCTAATACAAATATATTTGTTGATGAGACAACCTAAATTACCTAAATTACATTGTTATAACGGCCCTTTTAACACAGCAGCCAATGAGATCAAAGGGAGTGTTTCCATGTGCCAATAAGATCACAGGGAGACATTTCCGTGTCCAAATGGCCATCGCGATCATTAGGGCTCATCAGGAGTCAATGACAGCTAGGACGGTCGTCAAGGTAACCCGTCACACGGTGATGGGTTGACACGGTGATGCATTTGGACCCCAAGGACACTATGTCACTCACAGTCACACAGGGACCTCATCTGTCACTGTGGGGGGAGATAACTAGCAGATTGCGTGGGGGGAGAAAGGGAGAGAAAAGGAGAGAGAGGGAGAGAGAAGGAGGGAGAGGGAGGGAGAAGAGAGTAGAGAAAGAGACAGAGGCAAGGAGACAGATCATAGAACAGAGTAGTGAGAGTCCAAAGAGAGTTGGGAAGAGACGGAGTGAGAGAGGGAGAGATAGTAGGGAGAAAGAGAGAAAGGAGAGTAGGGAGAGGAGAGAAAGAGTATGGAGAGAGGGAGAAAGAGAAAAGTGAGAGAGAGAGATAATAGTTTAATAGGTTGCCATGGAAAGAGAAACGTGTGACCTTCTCCCACAGTTCTCCTGTAGAGGACTTCATCTGCTGTAATTACCTGTCAAGTCAATCGGACTGGAATGTGATGGAGGAGAGGCCTCACACCAGGTGATTACCATGACAATCACAAGTCATACCCACTGAAATGATGATAGAGAAGACAAGAATATACAGTGACCTCTCTGTCTTAAAGGGAATGGTTTCAGATAGTTGTATTCGAGCTATGGATTCTCTCACCTTTTAGTGACCATCCCTTTTATTATTCCAATTGGTTGATTGGTATAGGTTGGGGTAGGCAGCTCACTCCAGATGATTATCATGACAGTCAAACCTCATACATTTACATTTACATTTTAGTCATTTAGCAGACCCACTGACATTATGATGGAAAATAATATACTGTGACCTCTCTGCCTTAAAGGGAAGGGTCCAGTGCTGTATCTGAGCTATGACTTTCTCTCACCTTTCAGTGACCAGCCCTTTATGGTTTTCAAAGCTACAGTCTGGTATCTTGGAAACAGTTCAATGGTCATTTTAGTTTATTTATATATACATATATATACAGTATATATATATATATATATATACAGGTAAAAGTCAGTAAATTAGAATATTTTGAAAAACTTGATTTATTTCAGTAATTGCATTCAAAAGGTGTAACTTGTACATTATATTTATTCATTGCACACAGACTGATGCATTCAAATGTTTATTTCATTTAATTTTGATGATTTGAAGTGGCAACAAATGAAAATCCAAAATTCCGTGTGTCACAAAATTAGAATATTGTGTAAGGGTTACATTTTGAAGACACCTGGTGCCACAAAATAATCAGCTGATTAACTCAAAACACCTGCAAAGGGCTTTAAATGGTCTCTCAGTCCAGTTCTGAAGCCTACACAAACATGGGGAAGACTTCAGATTTGACAGCTGTCCAAAAGGCGACCATCGACACATTGCACAAGGAGGGAAAGACACAAAAGGTTATTGCAGAAGAGGCTGGCTGTTCTCAGAGCTCTGTGTCCAAACACATTAATAGAGAGGCAAAGGGAAGGAAAAACTGTGGTCAGAAAAAGTGTACAAGCGATAGGGATCACCGCGCCCTAGTCAAGATTGTGAAAAAAAACCCATTCAAAAATGTGGGGGAGATTCACAAGGAGTGGACAGCTGCTGGAGTCAGGGCTTCAAGATCCACCACCAAGAGACGCTTGAAAGACATGGGTTTCAACTGCCGCATACCTCGTGTCAAGCCACTGTTGACCAAGAAACAGCGCGAAAAGCGTCTCACCTGGGCTAAGGAAAAAAAGAGCTGGACTGCTGCTGAGTGGTCTAAAGTCATGTTTTCTGACGAAAGCAAATTTTGCATTTCCTTTGGAAATCGAGGTCCCAGAGTCTGGAGGAAGACAGGAGAGGCACAGGATCCACGTTGCCTGAAGTCTAGTGTAAAGTTTCCACCATCAGTGATGGTTTGGGGTGCCATGTCATCTGCTGGTGTCGGTCCACTCTGTTTCCTGAGATCAAGGGTCAACGCAGCCGTCTACCAGCAAGTTTTAGAGCACTTCATGCTTCCTGCTGCTGACCTGCTCTATGGAGATGGAGATTTCAGGTTCCAACAGGACTTGGCGCCTGCACACAGCGCAAAATCTACCCGTGCCTGGTTTACGGACCATGGTATTTCTGTTCTAAATTGGCCAGCCAACTCCCCTGACCTTAGCCCCATATAAAATCTGTGGGGTATTGTGAAAAGGAAGATGCAGAATGCCAGACCCAACAACGCAGAAGAGTTGAAGGCCACTATCAGAGCAACCTGGGCTCTCATAACACCTGAGCAGTGCCAGAAACTCATCGACTCCATGCCACGCCGCATTAATGCAGTAATTGAGGCAAAAGGAGCTCCAACCAAGTATTGAGTATTGTACATGCTCATATTTTTCATTTTCATACTTTTCAGTTGGCCAACATTTCTAAAAAATCCCTTTTTTGTATTAGCCTTAAGTAATATTCTAATTTTGTGACACACGGAATTTTGGATTTTCATTTGTTGCCACTTCAAATCATCAAAATTAAATGAAATAAACATTTGAATGCATCAGTCTGTGTGCAATGAATAAATATAATGTACAAGTTACACCTTTTGAATGCAATTACTGAAATAAATCAAGTTTTTCAAAATATTCTAATTTACTGACTTTTACCTGTATATATATATAAAACTTTAGGAACACCTGCTCTTTCCATGACAAAAACTGACCATGTGACTCCAGATGAAAGCTATGATCCCTTCTTGATGTCACTTGTTAAATCCACTTCAATCAGTGTAGATGAAGGGAAGGAGACAGGTTAAAGAAGGATTTTTAAGCCTTGAGACAACTGAGACATGGATTGTGTACGTGTGGGGTATGGTTGTAGATGCCAGGCGCACCGGTTTGAGTGTAACTGCAACACTGCTGGGTTTTTCACGCTTAACAGTTTCCCTTGTATATCAAGAATTGTCCATCACCCAAAGGACATCCAGCCAACTTGACACTGTGGGAAGCATTGGAGTCAACATGGGCCAGCATCCCTGTGTAATGTTTTTGACACCTTGTAGAGTCCATTCCCCGACAAATTGAGGCTGTTCTGATGGCAAAAGGAGGTGCAACTAAATATTAGGAAAGTCTTCCTAATGTTTTGTACACTCAGTATATATATATTGAACAAAAATATAAATGCAACAATGAGCAATTTCATAGATTTTACTGAGTTATAGTTCATATAAGCAAATCAGTCAATTCAAATAAATAAATTAGGCCTAATCTATGGATTTCATATGACTGGGCAGGGGTGCAGCCATGGGTGGGCCTTGGAGGGCATAGGCCCACCCACTGGGGAGCCAGGCCCAGCCAATCAGAATAAGTTCTTCCCCACAAAGGGGCTTTATTACAGACAGAAATACTCCTCAGCAACGCCCCCGCTGAAACGATCCCGCAGGTGAAGAAGCCGGATGTGGAGGTCCTGGGATGGCGTGGTTACACGTGGTCTGCGGTTGTGAGGCCGGTTGGACGTACTGCCAAATTCTCTAAAACAACGTTGGAGGCAGCTTATGGTAGAAAAATGAACATTCAATTCTCTGGCAACGGCTCTGGTGGACATTCCTGCAGTCAGCATGCCAATTGCACGCTCCCTCAAAACTTGAGACATCTGTGGCATTGTGTTTTAAAGTGGCCTTTTATTGGCCCCAGCACAAGGTGCACCTGTGTAATGATCATGCTGTTTAATCAGCTTCTTGATATGCCACACCTGTTAGGTGGATGGATTATCACTAACAGGGATGTAAACAAATCTGTACACCAAATTTGCGAGAAATAAGCTTTTTGTGTGTATGAAACATGGGACCAACACTTTACATGTTGCATTTATATTTTTGTTCAGTGTATATAGTTCCAATGGTCCAGTTAGATAGAGCATGGTGGATGTGTAACACATGGGGATGTGTGAAACTTACTCCTCAACCTGAATTTCCCCACTTGCGCCAGCGAATAGCTAACTTTTCACGTGGCGCCGACTAGTAAGACAAGGCGGTCACGTGTGCTAGCAAGGCAGAGGTCCTCTGTGTGAGCTGAATCAGGAGGTGGTACTCGCTAAGCAAGCAGCGTGATGTCCTTTACACTTGCAACACCAGGGTTGTGGGTTTGAGTCCCTGCAAGGACCACATACTGTGAAAATCAATGATATATTTTCCGTATTTCACTTTGGATAAACCCACCTGCTAAATCATTATTATTATACATTTCCCATTTCTATAGCCTTTTAAATCCCTCAAGATGTTTTATTGCACATTGTGTCAGTGAAGGTTTGCAGAGAAGGTATCTTATTCATTTTCTGAATATATTCATTGCATTGTAATCCTGGAAATGGTTTATCAGTTAGTCTGGCCCAATGTATTGTCTGGCTGTGTTGTATATAGAGCTGTGGTCTAAGTAGATTGATTGTGTAGATGACCTTGGGTTGTCTAGCCAGCAACCACCACATAATCCTATAAAGAGAAGTGGAACAATCAAAGCATCAAGAGGATAAAGAGCCTGACCTTACACACACACAGTGTCTGCACCCACGACCTCTCTGATTCACTAGGGTGAAATAATTACATCCGTGGTTACACATAATTACATCCCCCGGAGTGCGGGGAATGTCATCACGATTGGTTCCACTTCCTAGTTTCGTAGCTCAGGCCTTTGTGGCAGTGTGTACCATATTATATCAAAGGTTAAAATTATAGTCTAGACGGTAGGAAGTCTGGGAGTCTGAACAGCACAAAGGCAGTATATATTTTGGGTCAGTGCTTGAAAAAGGACATTATTGAATGTATTAGCCTAAGCTAGGCAGGCAAAGTATGCTGCCTCTGCTAGCACAGGAAGCTATAGGGCAGAGAGAAGGATGCTTCCTTCATGATGTGAATGGAGACTGGGCTCAGCTAAATAGTAAGCGTTCCTCGCTCTCTTGTTATTGGGGCTTTTATCGATAGTGTACTACCCCATCTCTTTTTCCCCTCACTCTATCTCTCACTACCTTTTACTCCAGTCGCTCTCCCGTTATTATTACATGCCACTACTGTATTTTCTCTAATCCTTAATATATCTCTTCTCTCTCTCTCTCTCGCTCTCCTCTCTCTCTCTCTCTCTATCTCTCTCCTCTCTCTCTCTCTCTCTCTCTCTCCTCTCTCTCTCTCTTCCTCTCCTCTCTCTCTCTCTCTCCCTCTCTCTCTCCTCTCCTCTCTCTCTCTCTCTCTTCCTCTCTCTCTCTCCCTCTCTGTAGATAGTGGAGTGATCTCTGGGTGCGTCAATCTACATCTGTGCTAGGGCGGAAGAGGATGGACATCCTCCTCCAAACTGGACAACAGCACCACCAGCGACACCCGCCGCCTGGATGAACTCAGCTCGGCCATCAACAGGTACGGTCTGGATAGAGTGGTGGGCGTAGGACGGGCTCTTCTCGCATGTACCTTCCTTGTCTACCCTTTTTCTCATTCACTCTTTCCTCCTCTCTTCTTGCCCGTTCTCCTCTATGCTCTTGCTTGTTTCCTCGTCCGTTTTTTCTCCTCTTCTTCCTCCTTTTATTTTTTTATGTTTCCTTCTCTCTTGTCACTCTCCTCATATCTCCTTCTCTCCTCTTTTGGCTGCCAGGTAGTCCTGTCTGCTCTCAGCAGCTTTACTATTTGATAGAGGAAACAGGGTTTTCTGACCTTGTCTCTACCATCTTCCCAGCACAGATCCTCTTTCAGTCCCTCTGTACCGCCAATATCCAATTTGACTGTCTGTACTCTCTATTCAATCCCTTTTACGGCATTTCACATGGAACTTCTAATGGTCAGGTTAAAATCTGTGGAAGATACAGAAAGATACACATACAAGAGATACATGCAAAGAATCTATCATTCATTTTCTTTTTTTAAAGGAGATTTGAACATCCTTTCATACTTGTATTGGTTTTTCGATAGGACAGTGACAGGACAGACAATGAAAGAGGAATGACAGGTAGGAAGGCCAAGGGCACATACAGTGGGTTGAACCAAAGCTCGAACCCTGTTGCCATGGGTCATGCATGCATGTGGTCCAGGAGCCGGGAGTGTTACCGCTCGATCAGACTCCGGCACTAGAATCCCTAATTTCTATAGCCACCAGAATCAGGCCTCGTTAAATAATCCCAGACGAACGCTTCTGTTCAGCCCTGCATGTGAAAATGGGAGAGGAAGGTGTGATTAATATTGTCTGGCGCAGGTGTTAACTTGAATCAATGTCTGGTAATGTTCTTCTCTGGCGTAAAGACTGTGTCACTCTACCTACAGATGTAGGATTTACATTTCAGCCAGATTTCTACAACAGGAAAATATTCCTGCAGCAACAAGAAATGTGAGTTATTATGTGGATTATAATTAACCCCCTAGAGTCGATTGACGCACCATAATCTAAATTACATAACAAAAAAATCTAAGTCTGTCAGTTTGAGCTAAAGATATCTGGGGTTTTTTTTCATTGGATGTGTCTCAATCCACCACATCCGCCAGTGTCCCACTTCCGCATCTGCGGTGAAAGGTGGCAGAGCTAGAGCGGTGTTTGTTAGACCATGAGACATCAAATCTTCTCTCGTAAACGTCTGTAGTGTACAATAAAATAAAACAATTGTTAAATACACTGTACACTGTACCGTTCAAGATAGGGAATTATGTAAAATAATTAGTATTCAATTTTCCATTTATAGTATTTTATAAATAGATAAGCCGGCATTAGAAGAAAGGATAACTAGCAAAATATAATATATAATATTAATATAAATATAACTAATTGGAACACAAAAGTAATCAATCAACATAGTGGAGATAAAAACATAGCAAACAGAAGACATAGAAGGCGCAGTATGTGGGGATATGTGTGGATGTATTGTGATGGAAGGTGTGGTGTGTGTTTTTGTGTTTGGAAAAGTGTGGCATTAAGTGAGTGAGAAAGGAAATGGTTGCATATCCCAGAACCAATGTGTATCTGTGAGCAGGGGTTGTGAGAGAGAGCTTTCAATTTTGTGCAGATGAGGGATATACATATATATATATATATAAAAAAATGTTTTATTGTCCTATCATGATGGAACGGTCCCAAACCCTATACCCTAGACACCCACCTGAGCGACCCATACACCAAAGAGAAGTTCCTATCTGTTTTATGTTCCTGCTGTAAGTTGCCTATATGCAGCCAAAACATAAAGATAAATGTGGTCAGAGACCTACTAGAGCAGCACCGCCCCCTCAAGAATCTGAGCCTGCCCGGCAGGGTTGGTCCTACAAAGCCAGAGCCCCCTGATGGGAGAGCATAACATACAAGGAAATTGTCAAAGCTGCTGATGAGAACCTTGACGACCTTGTACCTAGCCGGTGGGGATTCTGGTGGGGTACCCCCATCCAGGTAGTGGCAGTGCTGGCAACACTGGCTGTAGTAACCCATGGGGAGGGGGTCACACTCTGACAATCAGAGAGGGGCCATATTATTGTGGCCCTGGTGGCACAAAATAATCAAATGTCTGACTGTACAGAGATGCTTAGAAAAATGGTCACAACAAGGGACCAGCGTGTGTGTGTTTCAGGGGAAGGGGGTGGATCTGATCTCCATCACCTAGGACTTGACATTGGTTAATCAAATCTCAAATTTGTGTCAATTTTTGCTCAATCTTGCATTCTTTCTCAAACAACTGTAACTGTATTTGCATTCGTAAATCAGGTCCTTTCTTGAGTTGGGCTCTGGGATGTAACAACCGTTGAGCATCTGAGCTTATGGTTGATTGTAGGGGAAAGGGGTTGAGTGTGTAAGAGTGTGTGTGTGTGTGTGTGTGTGTGTGTGTGTGTGTGTGTGTGTGTGTGTTTGTGTATGTATCCCACATCTGTTGCAAGGGGGTAAGGATGTTAGGGACGATATAGGATGAATCACAATAATTGTTTGCTAAAATAATAATTGCTTGACAAAAATGTAATGTAATGCAATGACAATCCTGGTTATAGGTAACAATCCTTCGCATGAACTGCCAACATTATTACGCATATTCATTGTTAATGATGGAAATCAAGATACGCAAGATATTTGAATAGATATATATTTTTAATAGCTATATATAAAGCAAATGGAGGTGAGAGCATTGGAAATACTTTTAGCGGTTGATCTGCTTCTGTTCTGTGGGTGGCACTGTGTGCTGTTTCGAAGGATGGGTCCTGGCCTCTCGGGGGGCCTAGGGATCCGGCGAGACGGGTTGGTTTGCCGGTCACTGGGATGACAACCCAACTTTAGCGGGTGGAATAGTGGAGAACAACTGGAGGGTTACTTAGTAGCAATGCAAATATCTTGGTACAGCTATATGGACACTCGATCACTATGGTACTTTTTAATGGTACATTTACAAACATATATTATAATAAATAGATTTGAAACTTGTATCTCATTATGGTAAATTGTGAAATAAGTATAGCCAGTTATAATTGTAATGGCTTAGCAGATAATAACAAAAGAAGAACAATATTTACATGGCTCAAAGAGAAGGAATATAATATATATTGTTTACAGGAAACTCATTCAACAATTTTAGATGAAGTTGTGTGGAAATATACTTCTCCCATGGGCAAAGAAACTCAAAAGGGTGATTATATTAATGAACAGTCATTTTGATCCGAATCTGCAAATTGTCCAAACAGATCCGCAAGGTAGGTGGATGATTTTAAATATGTTATTGGACCATAAACAGATATGGCTCATTACCTTTACGAACCAAATAATGATAATCCACGCTTCTTTGAAAATATATATTTTACATTTACATTTTAGTCATTTAGCAGATGCTCTTATACAGAGCGACTTACAGTTAGTGAGTGCATACATTTTTTCATACTATCAACCCTGCAAGCAATACAAGACTCTATTATTATGCTGGGAGATTTTAATACTTTTTTAAATACCTCAATGGACCGTAAAGGAAATCAGACTACAAACTATCACCCTCATGCTCTTAAGGAAATCAGACTACAAACTATCACCCTCATGCTCTTAAGGAAATCAGACTACAAACTATCACCCTCATGCTCTTAAGGAAATCAGACTACAAACTATCACCCTCATGCTCTTAAGGAAATCAGACTACAAACTATCACCCTCATGCTCTTAAGGAAATCAGACTACAAACCAATCACCCCTCATGCTCTTAAGGAAATCACACTACAAACTCATCACCCTCATGCTCTTAAGGAAATCAGACTACAAACTATCACCCTCATGCTCTTAAGGAAATCATACTACAAACTATCACCCTCATGCTCTTAAGGAAATCAGACTACAAACTATCACCCTCTTGTTCTTAAGGAAATCAGACTACAAACTATCACCCTCATGCTCTTAAGGAAATCAAGACTACAAACTATCACCCTCATGCTCTTAAGGAAATCAGACTATCAAACGATCACCCTCATGCTCCTTAAGGAAATCATACTACAAACTATCAATCACCTTCATGCTCCTTAAGGAAATCAGACTACAAACTATCACCCCATGCCTTAAGGAAATCAGACTACAAACTAATCACCCGCAATGCTCTTAAGGAAATCGACTACAAACTAATCAATCACCTCATGCCTTAAGGAATAAAAAGCTATCCCATGCTCTTAAGGAATCAGACTACAAACTATCACCCCATGCTCTTAAGGAAAATCATACTACAAACTAAGTCCCCTCATGCTCTTAAGGAAATCAGACATACAAACTATCACCCTCCAATGCTCTTAAGGAAAATCCAGACTACAAAATATCCACCCTCATGGCTCTTAAGGAAATCAGACTACAAACTATCATCCTCGATGCTCTAAGGAAAGCAGACCTACAACTCTCATCCTCATGCCTCTAAGAACTCAGACTACAAACTATCACCCTCATGCTCTTCAGAAATCATCTACAAACTATCACCCTCATGCTCTTAAAGGAAATCCACTACAAACTATCACCCTCATGCTCTTAAGAAATCATACCTACAAACCTATCACCCCATCTCTTAAGGAAATCAGACTACAACTAGCACCCTCATGCTCTTAAGGAAATCAGACTAACAACCTATCACCCTCACTGCTCTTAGGAAATCAGACTACAAACTTCACCCTCATGCTCTTAAGGAATCAGACTACAAACTAATCACCCTCGATGCTCTTCAGAAAGCAGACTACAAACTACACCCTCATACTCTTAAGAATCAACTACAAACTATCACCCTCATGTCTTAAGGAACTCATACTACAAACGATCACCCTCAGCTCTTAAGGAAATCAGACTACACAACTATTACCCTCATGCTCTTAATGAAATCAGACTAACACACATCACCCTCAAAAAAATGCTCTAGGAAATCAAACTACAAACTATCACCTCATTCTCTCTAATGAAATCGAGACTAAAACTATCACCCTCATGCTCTTAAGGAAATCATACTACAACTTCACACCACCTCATGCTCTAAGGAAATCAGACACAAACTATCACCCTCATCTCTTAAGAAATCAGACTACAAACTATCACCCTCATGCTCTTAAGGAAAATCATACTGACAACTACAAACTATCACACCCTCAATGCTCTTAAGGAATCATCCTACAAACTATGTACCCAGATCATGCTCTTAAAAGGAAATCGACTACAAACTATCCCCTCATGCTCATAAGGAAATCACTACTACAAACTAGCAAATCCCCTACTGCTCTTAAGGAAATCATACTACAACATCACCCTCCTGCTCTTAAGGAATCAACTACACTCTCACCCTCATGCTCTTAAGGAAATCATACTACAAACTACACCCTCATCTCTGAAGGAAATCAGACTACAAACTATCACCCTCATGCTCTTAAGGAAATCGAATACAACTATCACCCCTCATATGCTCTTAAGTAAATCATAACTACAAACTATCATCACCCTCATCTCTTAAGGAAATCAGACTACAAACGATCACCCTCAGCTCTTAAGGAAAGCAGACCTACAAACTATCACCTTATCAACCTCATGCGCTTAAGGAATCAGACTACAAACTATCACCTCATGCTCTTAAGGAAATCATAGCTACAAACTATCACCCTCGATCTCTTAAGGGGAACGCATCTACAAACTATCACCCTCATGGCTCTTAAGGAATCTACTACAAACTATCACACCCTCATGCTCTTAAGATCCAGACTACAAACTACTCACCCTCATGCCTCTTAAGGAAATCGACACAAAATATCACCCTCGATGCCTTAAGGAAATCAGACTACAAACTATCATCCTCTGCTCCTTAAGGAAATCAACTACAAACTATCCCCTATGCTCTTAATGAAATCAGACTACAAACGATCCACCCTCATGCCTTAAGGAAATCTACTAACAACTATCATCCCTCATGCTCTTAAAGGAAATCAGACTACAACCGATCACCCTCAATGCTCTTAAGGAATCAGCTAACCACCTATACCCCATGCTCTTAAGGAATCAGCACTACAACCTATCACCCTCATGCTCTTAAGGAAGCTACTACAACTATCAACCTCAGCGCTTAAGAATCAGACTACAAACTATCCACCCTCAATGCCTCTTAAGGAAGCAGACTACAAACTATCACCCCATGCTCTAAGGAAATCATACTGCAACTATACCCCACTGCTCTTAATGAAATCAGACTACAAACTATCGACCCTCATGCTCTTAGAGGAAATCATATTTACAAACTATCACCTCATGCTCCTTCAGGAAAATCAGACTACAACTATCACCCTCATGCTCTTAAGGAAATCAGACTACAACTATCACCCTCATCTCTTAGAAATCATACTACAACACTAATCACCCGCATTCTCTTAAGGAAATCAACTACAAAAACTATCGACCCTCATCTCTTAAAGCTGGAAGCACGGCGCTTGTAACGCCAAGGTAGTGGGTTCGATCCCCGGGACCACCCGTACACAAAAAAAAAATGTATGCACGCATGACTTTAAGTCGCTTTGGATAAAAGCGTCTGCTAAATGGCATATTATTATTATTATTTAACTATCACCCTCATGCTCATAAGGAAATCAGACTACAAACTATCACCCTCATGCTCTTAAGGAAATCATACTACAAACTATCACCCTCATGCTCTTAAGGAAATCAGACTACAAACTGTCACCCTCATGCTCTTAAGGAATCATACTACAAACTATCACCCTCATGCTCTTAAGGAAATCAGACTACAAACTATCACCCTCATGCTCTTAAGGAAATCAGACTACAAACTATCACCCTCATGCTCTTAAGGAAATCAGACTACAAACTATCACCCTCATGCTCTTAAGGAAATCAGACTACAAAACTATCACCCTCATGCTCTTAAGGAAATCAGACTACAAAACTATCACCCTCTTGTTCTTAAGGAAATCAGACTACAAACTATCACCCTCATGCTCTTAAGGAAATCAGACTACAAACGATCACCCTCATGCTCTTAAGGAAATCAGACTACAAACTATCACCCTCATGCTCTTAAGGAAATCATACTACAAACTATCACCCTCATGCTCTTAAAGCTGGTAGAGCACGGCGCTTGTAACGCCAAGGTAGTGGGTTCGATCCCCGGGACCACCCGTACACAAAAAAAAAAAATGTATGCCGCATGCTTTAAGTCGCTTTGGATAAAAGCGTCTGCCTAAATGGCATATTATTATTATATTAACTATCACCCTCATGCTCTTAAGGAAATCAGACTACAAACTATCACCCTCATGCTCTTAAGGAAATCATACTACAAACTATCACCCTCATGCTCTTAAGGAAATCATACTACAAACTATCACCCTCATGCTCTTAAGGAAATCAGACTACAAACTATCACCCTCATGCTCTTAAGGAAATCAGACTACAAACTATCACCCTCATGCTCTTAAGGAAATCAGACTACAAACTATCACCCTCATGCTCTTAAGGAAATCAGACTACAAACTATCACCCTCATACTCTTAAGGGAAATCAGACTACAAACTTCACCCCATGCTCTTAAGGAAATCATACTACAAAACTATCACCCTCATGCTCTTAAGGAAATCATACTACAACTACACCCTCATGCTCTTAATGAAATCCAGACTACAAACTATCACCCTCATTCTCTTAAGGAAATCAGACTACAAACTATCACCCCTCATACTCTAAGGGAAATCATACTACAAACTATCACCCTCATGCTCTTAAGGAAATCAGACTACAAACTATCACCCTCATGCTCTTAAGGAAATCAGACTACAAACTATCACCCTCATGCTCTTAAGGAAATCATGAATGTGATGGAGATATTGGAACTGGTGGATATATGGAGGCTTAAATATCCTGACCTAGTGAGATATACATGGCAGAGGCTCAATCAGAGGGTTAAATATCCTGACCTAGTGAGATATACATGGCAGAGGCTCAATCATGCTAATCGTCTTGACTTCTTTCTTGTGTCATTCTCCTTGGCACCAAAAGTTTAAAAAGTGTTGATAGGGGACAGAATGCGGTCGGACCATCAGATAATTGGCATATACATTACTCTTACTGAATTTCCACGTGGGCGAGGATATTGGACATTTTATCAAAGCCTATTGGATGATAACTTGTTTTATAACTAGGAAAGAGGAATTTTTACTGAATTTTTCCGGCATAACATAGGTACAGCAAATCTTATTGTATGGGACGCTTTTAAATGTGCCTTTAGAGGCCATGAAATTCAGTACTCATCTCTTAAACAAAAGCAATTTAGGTCAAAAGAGTCCATACTAACAAAATAAATAGAAGTTCTAACAGAATAGATAGATAGCAATAAAAACGGAATTCTAAATAAATCACAGACAGTGTCACCAGCAAGGCACACCTGTTAATTGAAATGTATTCCAGGTGACTACCTCGTGAAGCTGGTTGAGAGAATGCCAAGTGTGTGCAAAGCTGTCATCAAGGCAAAGGGTGGCTATTTGAAGAATCTCAAATATAAAATATATTTTGATTTGTTTAACACTTTTTTTGTTACTACATGATTCCATATGTGTTATTTCATCGTTTTGATGTGTTCACTATTATTGTACAATGTAGAAAATAGTAAAAATAAAGAAAAACTCTTGAATGAGTAGGTATGTCCAAACTTATGACTGGTATTCTATATATACATACTGTATATACATATATATTTCCAGATTTTTTTAAAATATCTCCTAGATTTAGGACAGACACTTCAAAACCTTGTTTCTTATGATTTATTTTTTGACTGTCCTTTTTGCCATTTATGAATGTGTTATTCAATGCATTTCTATGTGCTTCAGTAGTAAAGGCCAAAATCAATATTTAATCAAATCATTATTTATTTTTATTTTTTATACCTAAAGGGTTCCTAAAATTCTAAATAGCTGAATTATCCAATAGTATGACCATCATAAAACAATTCCATATGTCATCTTGGAACCCCCCCCCCCCCTCCCTCCCCCAACGTCTTAGACTAAAGAATTCATGACCATTTTTGTAGGGTGTGATACATTTTTCATTAGGGCAAATCAAGTCTGAAATTTCAAAGAGAAAATTACAAACTTTAGAAACCTTTTTAAAACTCCAATACACTACACATTTGCATATCCTGCTTTGCAGGACTATTCTCAGCAACAAAAGAGTGATCAAATTAAGATCCTACATCTTCGTACTGACTCTGTTCAACATAGGTACATTGGCTTACTAGACCAATTCAGCTAGGTGGAATATTCTATATTCAGAAAGAAACAGAGGGCATAGAAAGGCCATGATTCGTTATCTATGGGCAAAGACAATTGCTGGAGCTTAGTGGCCCACCTTAGTGGCTGAACAGCTATCTTTGTCTTGGGCTAGAATAGATGGATTTCCTGAGGTGTCTTTAATAATTAAAGCCAGAAGCCCAGTTACATTGGCGTCCAACAGCAGGACAGTCTCTCCCGGAGGAGGAGGTCAAAGGTTGCGGAGATGATTTGGAATCACTTTGTCTTGGAGAGTGGTTTTGGAGGGAGTGGGGTTGTTGGACAGTCTCATTGAGGGGGTTATATGGTTCAACTGAGCTGGTTAAAGCCAGCTAGGCTGGGCACAGGACCAAAGCACAGAGCACAGCCCTCTGACGGAGCACACTCTAGGATTAATGGCTGTGCACAAAGCACACGGAGAGGAACACACACACACATGCACGCTCACACACACGCATAGAATGCACAAAGTACACACACACATACGCAGAGGAACACACACATTTACAGTCAGCGACTGCCGCGGAGGGGACAAGCCACGTCTCTCTCTGCTCCAGTGGACTGTGATTCCTATTACATCACTCATCTCTACTTCTAATCTCCCTCTCCCTCGCTTTCCTCTATTTTGCTCACTTTCTATTACTTGATCATTCGCTGTCAGATTCCACTCTCCCATCTCTCTTTCTCTCTCTCTCTCCCTCTAGTTCTCTCTCTTTTTCACTCACCCTCTCTCTTCGCTCCGTCAAGTTATTCCTATTCCGGGAACACACAATAAACAAAACAAACAAAGCCAAACAGGGGAAACAGAATTGAATGATTGAATCACCAAAACCTATTTCCTCACCCTACTCCATGTTGCTTTCTATGGCTCTCTCTTTTTCTCACTTTTTCTCCCTCTCTTCTCTAGCTTGTCCATTTAATAGTAAAGGAAGCCCCTGCCTCCGTTCAATCCAGAGAAATATGTTATTCTGAAGAGCGTGCCATCCCAGTACATCAAATATGTATACACCTGTAATCTTTCATCATAATTATCCTTTAATGTGTCTCTGTAACAATTTTGGTTTCCCTCCTCATAAGGCATGGGCCAAAGATGATGGGATATTGCTTGATTGCGTGATGTTACGTAATAGAGGAGAACTCTCTCTGGTTCTTCCTCTCTCACTTCGTCTTTTGCCCCACAACAGTATTGCTCTTCTTTCTTTTTTCACCCTCCTCTCTCTCTCTCTTTCTCCCAATCCCTCTCTCTTTCCCCCTTTCCTCTCTCTGCTCTCTGCCCCCTCCACTCTCTCTCTCCTCAGTCTCCATATCGGTCTGTTTCTTCTCTTTCAGTCTCTTTCTCTCCCTTCCCCTCTCTCCTATCTCTCTCTTTCTCTCCCTTTCTTACTCATGTCTGTTAGCACAGTCCCATAGTGACAGACACATAGGGCTAAGCACAGAGCAGGTCATGTGTTTTAGAGGGCATATCATCAAGTCACAGAGGTCTAAGCCTTAGGGGCCAGAGGGACACCTGGGGATCTGGTCCAATGACAACTCAGCTCTTTAGAAGGTCACCATGACAACTCAACAGGGACATTGCAAAGCAGAGTAACTGTACTCACACTACCTCTAGTAATTAAAGATGCATTGACTATACAGTAGATGGAAATGCATAATTGATTAACTGACTTATTCATTTGGCCATTAAAAAATAAATATGACGTTATGTATGTACAGTGGGGAGAACAAGTGTTTGATACACTGCCGATTTTGCAGGTTTTGCTACATACAAAGAATGTGGTCAAGACCTACAGGAAACGTATGATCTCTGTAATTGCAAACAAAGGTTTCTGTACCAAATATTAAGTTCTGCTTTTCTGATGTATCAAATACTTATGTCATGCAATAAAATGCAAATTAATTACTTAAAAATCATACAATGTGATTTTCTGGATTTTTGTTTTAGATTCTGTCTCTCACAGTTGAAGTGTACCTATGATAAAAATGACAGACCTCTACATGCTTTGTAAGTAGGAAAACCTGCTAAATCGGCAGTGTATCAAATACTTGTTCTCCCCACTGTATATATACAAAAACGTGTTAAACAAATCAAAATATATTTTATATTTGAGATTCTTCAAAGTTGCCACCCTTTGCCTTGATGACAGCTTTGCACACTCTTGGCATTCTCTCATGAGGAATGCTTTTCCAACAGTCTTGAAGGCAAAGGGTGGCTACTTTGAAGAATAACAAATATAAAATATAACATTTTGATTTTTTTTAACACTTTTTTGTTTACTACATGATTCCATATGTGTTATTTCATAGTTTTGATGTCTTTACTATTATTCTACAATGTAGAAAATAGTACAAATAAAGAAAAACCCTGGAATGAGTAGGTGTGTACAAACCTTTGACTGGTACTATATATGAAGTCACCACATTGAAACATCAATACGTACGTATATTTTAAAAAAATATCAAGGACAAACACAATAAAGTCAAAAACATATTAGTACTATTATTCACTAAATTAGGTATCTGCTTCTTGTATCCTTTACAGCTGTCTACAGCTTGTACTTTAAGCCAGCCACAGTCTGACAACACCAGTCTAGAATGAGTTTAATTTCCTCCCCTGAGACCGTCTCTCTTTCTGTATCTAACTCCCCGTCACTGTGGACAGATAGTTAGTCCATTAGGCAGCTCAGTAATCTATCCTCTACCTCATTTACAGAAAGCACACACAACTCAGTCTCCCTGATCCTCTCTCTGATCACTATCTGTTAGTGGGGGTTAATGCTGCCTGCTGACTAGGCAACACAGTTAGAGGGTATTGCAAACTCCTTCTCAAACCGCCCCTCCCTTCTCCCTTTACTATCTCATCTGAACTGGGGACTGGTGTTAAATATGCAAGGGAGCCGTCTTATCCTACAGAGGAAATTGTATTGGTGGTTACAGCAGGCAGTATAGGGCTTTTTCTATTTCACGCTCCAACCAAGTGCCTCACAATTAGCCTCTCCGCAGCCTGTTAACACTGTCTTACATCTGTAGGAGAGAGAGAGAGAGAGAGGAGGAGAGAGGGGCGAGAGAGACGAGAGAGAGTAGAGACAGAGAAACGATAAGAGAGAGATATCTACAGACATATACATAGAGAGCTAATCTCTGAGATCGAGCCTGTCTCGCCTCTCTCTCTCTCTCTCTCTCGCTCTCTCCTCTCTCTCTCGCTCTCTCTCTCTCCTCTCTCCTTCTTTCTCCGCTCTAATGCGCCTCTCTCCCCTTTCCCTGTCCTTCTCCTTTTCTCACTCCCTTTATTAGCATTGTTAAATCATCCAGTCAGATGTTACGGTAAGGAGTTTTACCCTCAGGTTGTTTGAGGTGACACTGATGTTGTTCTCTGTCTGTCTCTGCACAGTATGGGATTAAATAGCAGCCCAAAGTATGTTTCTCACTTTGGATGATTGTGTCTTTTTGGTCTGTGTGTGTGCAGGTTCCAGCCAGCAGGCCTGGTAGAGATGATCCAGGCTATAGCTCAGAACATGTCCAACATGGCGGTCAGAGTGGAACAGATCCTCCAGAACAGCATGGCCGCCGGCAGAGGTACAATATTATAACACTAACATTACACACTGTGTTATTGCTGTGCAATACATATGGAACTGCCCATGCCTTCTTCACATCATTGGGGTGGTCCAAACCTTACTTTCTATGAACATTGTCCTTTCCAGCGCGGTTCCAGCAACTATGATGGCAACTATGGTGGATGTGTTAACTAGGCTTTCCTCTGGTCGGTTTGGCTCAGCAGTGTGAAAAGGTTCTTACCACTCTATGAAAACACTAAAAGTTGTAATCCTCGACAGGTACTCAGAACATCAATTCAAAAACTTTCGAACTGCAATACACGTCAGACTTTTACACCTCAGATCTAAAATACAGCAGCCATTCAAAGTGCAGCATGACAAGTGATTCGTATATTAAATGAATTGATGTGGGAAATAAAAGTAAGATCTACTCTAATAAAACAAATCAACAGTACAGCCAGCCGTAGAGTCTTTATTTTTTTATACCCATCTCCATTTTATTGCTTTCTATATCTGCTGTTGACTCTTCTGTCCATCCCCACATTTTTTTATCAAATCATAAATAATTCTGCTACCGGCACAAATAATGCCGATTGTGTTGGAAACATACACACAGGAAGACACACACACACACACACACACACACACACACACACACACCACACACACGGACGGTTATCAAGGGAACTCAATCGACAGTCCTTAATCAACTCTTCTTCCTTCCGTCTCCCTCTCCTCAACCAACAGCAAAGTCATTATCAGAGGCAATTAGTCTTATCTCCCTTTGTTTTCACGGTGAAGACGTGATGGCAGAACCCCAACCGCTTTTATTCATCACAAACCACACTCCGTGGACTTTATTGTCTGTTTCGACTCGAGCACATCAGTGATTCATCTCGTGGCCGAGAGAGAGAGACACAAGACGACGTGGTCGGAAGTTGGTTTTCGAGCCTCCCTCCCAGCCACCGCACGCTATTTTATTTTTGTCTCGCAGGGGCCTCGAGTTTTTATCTAATTAGTCCTCCGCACATTTAATAGTGGCCATGGCGACGGTTAATATTATTGTAATAAAATGGAAGGCGCTGAAATATTTTGTGTCACTGGGAAATATGTGACGTGTTAGTGAGCAGAGAAGCTTGAGGGATGGAGTGACTGAGATAGAGAGAGACAAAGCTTTCATTAGACACATGGAAGCAGTCAGATAATGTTTTGGTCCAGAGAGAGGAGTATATACAGAGAGAGGGCTAGAAAAAGAGATAGCGAGATAGTAATCGATAGAAGAGAGATAGGATGAGAGAGATAGATATTAGAGCATCTCTCTCCTTTCGTATCTTATCTCTCGATATCTCTCTCTCTATCTCACTACTCTCTCTCTCTATCTAGATATCTCTTCTCTCTCTCTCTCTCTCTCTTATAGATAGTCCAACTCTCTCATCTAACCTTCCCGTCTTCTCCCATCCATACTGCTGGAACTTCGAGTTTCAACTCCAGTCTCTCTTCCTGGCTGTAGGCCCCCAGCTGCAGGGAGGCAGTTAGCTAACTCAATGGACCAATTAATGCAGTGAGTGCAGCGTGAGTGAGCGGATACATATTGTACCGTTAGCCCGGGAGGGGTGGCAGCAGTGGCGAGGGGTTGTATTTCTGTACCCCACGGTGAACAATGTGCACCAAAGCAGGCCTGATGGGACATATGGTTTGCTGAAAATGTTGTTGATTGTCTGTTATAAGGATCTCTATTATCTCCTCTTCACGAATAATTGTACTGTGGTTCATGATCAAATGTATGCACGCATGATAGTAAGGCTTAAAAGGTCTCTGATATATGACTATGGTGTCTTTATTCTGTTGCTTCCACAGTGTTGTAATATGATTGATGTTGTGTCTTTTCTATGTCTCCACAGTGTGTAACTATGATGTGTGTGTTCTATATCTCCACAGTGTGTAACTATGATGTGTGTGTTCTATATCTCCACAGTGTGTAACTATGATGTGTGTGTTCTATGTCTCCACAGTGTGTAACTATGATGTGTGTGTCTCTTCTCTTCAGCAGTGAGAGATGGCTCGTCAGGCCAGTGTGAGGTACCCAGAGACCCCCACTACCCAGACTGCCCTGGAAAAGTGGATGTGAGTTTCTCTCTGTCTATCTAGCTAGGCTATAAGAGATTCTCCTGATATCTTATAACCAATATTCCCTCTAAGCTTCCCTCTAAGCTCCCCCAGGACTGCCGTGCAGAATAAATATCAGCCCGCGCAGAGAAGCACGAGATTGAACTTCACTCAACTTTCTAGAGTTTTCCCCCTTAGTTAACACCATCAACGTTTCCCTTTACTTTGGGAATTGTGATCGAATCAACGCAATATTAGCCGCTTTCAATGCAACATACCGAAACAAAACGAAGAGATGTTGTTCTAGGTAGAACGCATCGGAGTAGGATTCTATTGCATTGACACGCATGACTCAGCCCGTACTCTACACAGACTTGTGAAACATAACCAATCAGAGCAAATAGACCATTGCCAGATATGGATCTGTGCCGTTCACTTTAAACTGGACTGTGTTTACAGCATGAGCGGTCGTGAGTAGATGCACTTGTTTTGGGATTAAAGAGAGAGCTGCATGTAGCCATGTGTGAACATTTGTTCATATCCTTTGCTAGTTAGTGAGTTATTAGCCCAGTTATAGATAATTTGTAGTCAGTAATGGGGGAGTGATTGCTTCCTACAAGAGCATAAAACGTGTACATTTCTAGACATATTTGAAACGCGAGTTGGGTAAAGAGCATTTTTTTGTCTTAAAGGGGCAGTTTTTTATTTTGAGAGGCTTGAATAAGCTAAGTAGCCAATAGGCAGAGGGCAGCATAATTTCTCTGATTCTCTGTAATAATGGTGCATTTTAATAATGCCTTTTATTTTGTAAAGTGGTTGCTTGTATCCAACAACACAACAACATTTTCAGTCACCTCCTTGTCTGATGGACAAGTGGATAAACGGGTTAATGTCAAGCCCTACATGTTTTTTTCAAAAGTCTCATTGACTACTACAGTAGGCTGAATGATAGAACAGCTATTTCCATGTTAAAATGTTTTGGGATGCATTTTCTCCATTGTTTTTGATGGTAGGCCATTCTGGTAGGCCTTCATTATAATCAAATAGCCACAGTAGCCTAAATAACTCTAAGTTAAAGCAGGTACAGCCTCAGTGTTCACAGTAAACACGTGCTGGAAGTTGCACAGAATTTTCACAACATTCAAGTTTGTGCTCAAGTTTGCGCTCAGCAGACCTGAAATTAGCTCAGTGATTAAAAAGATTAGAGGGACATTACTTATAACCTGCAATTCCATTTAACTGAACATTTGAATTTAAGTACATCTAATCTATGATCAAGAGGTAGAGAACTCCCTATAGTTTTCATATGACCTGTGGCAATTATTGTATTATTTTTATTTGTGTTTAACAAAGTCAAAGTAACCTGAACATTAAACTTTGACCCGTGTATCACCAGTGGATGCGTGCCCGCTGGACGTCAGACCCGTGCTATGCCTTCTACGGGGTGGACGGCTCCGACTGCTCCTTCCTCATCTATCTGAGCGAGGTGGAGTGGTTCTGCCCCCCTCTGGCCTGGAGGAACCACAGCAGCCCCCCCACCGTCCATACACACACACACCACACCACCACCCCCAGGAGACAGGTGAGACACACACACACACACACACACCACACAGAACCCATTCCACCATCCATACACACACAGACACCAGACCACCACCGTCAAGAGACTGGTAAGAGGGACACACCCACATACACACACACACACACAAAGGAAGATGCATACACATACTCACAAAAGCAGATGATCATATACACACACGAGCCCTGCTAAGAGATGCGGGGCAAAAGCCTACATGTAGAAGCACTTACACACACAAATTCACACTCAAAAGAGCACAGCCAGTAGACAAATGAATCTTCATACTTCCGCTGTATAAGCTTGCATAGTAGACATCTCTTTCCTCCCTCTCTCATTGTGCTGCAGGATAGTCAATGCCACACGCAGCACAAATGAATTCTTTACACTCAAACACACCTCAGTCCCTGATTCTCTTAGCAGAACGGTGTTCAAGGCTGAGTCAATGTGTGCTATTTTTTCAAAACAATACCTGCACAGCTATTAACCAGGTTCAAAGATACCTACACACAGAGAGAGATCCCTGATCACAAAGTGTGTGTGTGTGCGAGTGTGTGTGTGTCTGTATGTGTCTCTGTGTGTGTGATCTGTGTGTGTGAGTGTGAGTGTGAATGCTGGATATTGAATTCTCTGTTGTACTTTAATATTGAATAGCTTATTAGTGTTTGGCAACGTTCCTAATTACAGGAGTGGCTCTGTTAGCCAGATAATCTAGGCCATTTGTAGCAGGGTCAGCTCTTTTAAGAAGTCTTTGAGTGAGCATATAGGTGTGTGTGTTTGTATATATATGTGTGTGTGTGTGTGTGTGTGTGTGTGTGTGTGTGTGTGTGTGTGTGTGTGTGTGTGTGTGTGTGTGTGTGTGTGTGCGTGCGTGCGTGCGTGCGTGCGTGCGTGCGTGCGTGCGTGCGTGCGTGTGTGTGTGTGTGTGTGTGTGTGTGTGCGTGTGTGTGATGGACAGAGAGAGACTTTTAGACTACACAGTCATAGCCGTTTAACTAGCACAGGTTTCTCTAGAGACTTAGCTTGTAGTACTATCACCCCAGAGAACACAGTCTGCACACACTCCTCTGAACCACTGTGGTCCTATTGCAGAGGGAAAGTGGGAGAGGAGCCTGTGTGGGTAGCTATCATGTAATGCCATAAATATCTGTAGGCTCGCTCCAATTGACCTCCCCTCATCTCATCCTTCCTCCCACACTCTCTCCATCTCTCACCCTCTTCTTATGTATTTCTTCACTACTTACACTCTATCGGCATCTCTGTAAAGTTATAGGCTTTTATTGTTTTGGATTTTAGATCATATACATTTTTTTAAGATAAGATAAAACTGGAAAAACGAATGGACCTCTCTCTCTCTCTCTCTCTCTCTCCTCTCTCTCTCTCTCTCTCTCCCTCCCCCTCCCTATAGGCTGCGTTCCGTACAGACCTGTCATCTCTGCTGGACCAGGTTGGCACGGGCAAAGAGTCCCTGAGCTTCATGAAGCGCCGCATGAGGAGGCTGGCATCACAGTGGGGCACGGCCGCCCAGCGCCTCCACGCCAAGCTGCGCCAACGCTGGAGGGAACAGAAGAAGGTAGAGATGAGAGAGAGAGGAAGAAAGACAGAGAGGTAGAGAGAGAGCGAGATCTATATAGGAGAGAGCCGATAGACGAGAGATGAGATAGATAGACGATAGATCGAGAGCTGCTCGCCCTAGCTACCGTCTCGCTCTATCTCTCTCTCTCTCTCGCTCTCTCTCGCTGTTTTTTTCGTTTGTTGTTGTCTTGTTTTTTTTTGTTCTTGTTTCCATTTGCTTGTTTCCACATTCAGTCAGGGAATACCACCCAGTAAATGTGAGACGACTGAAAGTGAGTTCTCTCTTTCCCTCCCAATTGTTACAACCTTCAATGAATGCCGCTTTTTCCTCTGTGATTCTATTATTGTGTTATTCACTCTCAGCAACCTGATGAAGTAAAGAGTGAAGGTAAACCGAAATTGACGGGAGAGATGAGAGATGAATCATGTGAAATAAGTGGTTCGAGAGCGATCAGGGAGGAGAGATGGAGAGCAAGGTGTTAAGAGGATAGGGATTGACACTGAGCCATCCGAAGATTGAGCGATCGATAGGTAATTGTCACTGATCCCCCGGTACTTGCTGCCTCTTCCGTTTCACCATTTCCAGTAGGTCTATACGTCACCGGCTTCTAGGCGTCACTGACCTGGTTCATTACCACCAACCCCAGACTGTCTTGTCTCATTACGCACACCTGGTTCCCATTCCCCCTGATTAGTATGTGTATATACAGTATGAGCCCTCTGTTCCCAATTGTCCTTGTCGATTATTGTCCCATTTCCGTTGGTCTCGTGAGTACCGTGTATAGTGGTCTTGTTGTTTACGGGTCTCGTCCCGTGTATTGTGTAGAGGTTACACCTCACTCTTTGTTTGGGTTACATCCCTTTTGTATATATATATACGTGTTTGTGTTGGGAGGAGTAAATAAAACCCCTAAGACTTATTCCTGCGCCTGTCTTCAAATCTTTATACAATGTGACAGTAATAAAATAACAGGCCTCATACTTCTCTCCTCACATCTCTCTCTCTCTAAAATAAACCAACAGGCCTAAAATGGCTGTCCATCCACACAGACCCTCCCCAGTCTTGATTGATGGAGCCGTCTCGTGCCTCAAACGCATGAAATGGATTTGTTATTTTAGATCTGTCCTCTCATCTCTCCGGCTGTGTGATACTGTGCTATCTCTACACCAGCCGGTCCAACGCTGTTTATCATTACCTAATTAATTTTGATAGGGGATCAGTGTACAGCCCGTGAGGGAGTGCTTAATATGTGGATAATATCTGATCTCAGATCAGGTATTGACTGTCATTCTCTGGTATGCTTGTGTGTCTACCCCACCAGTAGACGACATGTCAGGAACTAAAGAATAAAACACTTGGGAGTCCTCTACAGCGGACTGAGGAAAAGCAGTCTGCCATCAATTAACTCTGACCCTTGTGCTTCCTATATTTTCCTATATCCTTCTCTTCCTCCCTCTCCCTCTCTGCCTCTGTCTCTTCCTCCCTCTCTGCCTCTGTCTCTTCCTCCCTCTCTGCCTCTGTCTCTTCCTCCCTCTCTGCCTCTGTCTCTTCCTCCCTCTCTGCCTCTGTCTCTTCCTCCCTCTCTGCCTCTGTCTCTTCCTCCCTCTCTGCCTCTGTCTCTTCCTCCCTCTCTGCCTCTGTCTCTTACTCCCTCTCTGCTCTACCTTCCCCCGCTCTTCCCTCTCGCTCTGTCTCTCCTCCCTCTCTGCCTGTCTCTTCCTCCCTCTCTGCCTCTGCTCTTCCTCCCTCTCTGCCTCTGTCTCTTCCTCCCTCTCTGCCTCTGTCTCTCCCCCTTCTGCCCTTCTCTTTCCTCCCTCTCTCCTCTGTCTCTTTCTCCCTCTCTGCCTCTGTCTCTTCCTCCCTCTCTGCCTCTGTCTCTTCCTCCCTCTCTGCCTCTGTCTCTACCCCTCTCTGCCTCTGTCTCTTACTCTCTCCACTAATGCAATCCCAACTCTCCGGTTCACTTTTTAACATTCCAATATGTTCTGGGGATTCAATTCTGTTTCCCTTGATTGAGTTTGTTTGGTTTGTGTGTGCTCCCGGAAAAGGAATAACTTGATGAAGCAGAGAGAGAGAGAAAGGAGAAAAGGAGTAAGGGGAGAGAGAGAGAGACAAGAGAGAGCAGAGAGAGAGAGAGAGAGAGCGAGAGAGAGAGAGGATGAGAGAGAGGAGAGAGATAGACAGAGAGAAGAATCGACAGAAGAGAGCAGACGAGCAGATAGCTGACGTAGCCGAAGAAGATGCATCTATGACATCGACAGCGGCACAAGGCGAGGAGATGATCGAGGTAGTGTGGCCGAAGACATATCAGAGAGAGAGAATAACCATTATTTTACCTGTCAGTGGCAGAAACAGGTACAGGGAACGGATCCCAGGGGAGCATGGAATAGAGGAGTCTTTGTCTGTGTTTTTTATATTTTCTATAATATATGCCACTCAACAGAGGCTGTTATCCAAAGAGACTTACAGTGCAGTGAGTGCATATTGAGTGCATATATTTCTATTTCATGTATGTGATCCCTGAGGGAATTGAACCCACTACCTCTGGAAAGAGTGGGGTTTAAAAAAGTTCCATTCCTGCTCTGTCGAACCTCTAGACCGCAGAGTCAGAGTGTGTGTGTGTGTGTTGTGTGGTGTGTGTGTGTGTGTGTGTGTGTGTGTGTGTGTGTGTGTGTGTGTGTGTGTGTGTGTGTGTGTGTGTGTGTGTGTGTGTGTGTGTGTGTGTGTGTGTGTGTGTGTGTGTGTGTGTGTGTGTGTGTGTGTGAGAGAGCATGTGTGTATGTGTGTGTGTGTGCGTGCATGTGTGTTAGTTAGAGAGGAGCGAAATCCTGACTGACTGACTGACTGTGGGACGCCCCAAAGGCCTCCGACTGAATTTCAATCATTTCTCTGTCAAGTCAGTTTGAACCTTTCCTGATAGCTATATAAAACCTGAGGAGTTTTTAAAACTGCCATTTTAACCTAGTTCTTTAAACTAGAACATCTGTGAGGCAAATTGTAACAACCCTTATTAATAATAATAATAATGACTTACTTTTATACAGAGTTTTAGTCTCAAAGTGACCTCATCCACCACCATATACTGCAACACACTTTGTTCAGTTCCACTGAAATACTCAAACACAAAAGCATAGTCCAACATTGAGCTTGTATTTCTTGACAAAAAATAGAGCATTAAAGCTCAAAAGCAGTGATAACCAAACTGAATAGAAATATGTTTCTAACGATGGAGGAATGGGAATCTCTGCTATGCAGTCACAGCCTGAGCTACACTCTTAGCAAAAAATGTGCTGTCTAGAACCTAAAGGGTTCTTCGGCTGTCCCCATAGGAGAACCCTTTGAAGAACCCTTGTTGGTTCCAGGTAGAACCCTTTTGGTTCCAAGTAGAACCGTTTTGGGTTCCATGTAGAACCCTTTCCACAGAGGGTTCTACCTGGAACCAAAAGGGGTTGTGCCTGGAACCAAAAAAATGGGTTCTCCTCTGGGGGCAGCCGAAGAACCCCTTTTGAACCCTTTTTCTAGGAGCGTATAGGAGAGCTATGGGAGACCTTCAGCATTAGCTGCATTTCTCCCTTCAATTCCAGGCTATTAGCTGAGCAGTGTTCCCGGCTGAGTTTATGTATGCTGTTCTTTTCAAAACAATCCTAGCAACTAAAGACCAATTATGTGTGTGTGTTTGCGAGCGTGTGATGATTACCCCATCACTCTCGGTTTTACTTGGAGAATAGACTGACCTACAACCTACAGTAGCGGGTAAGAAACAGTATGCAGCCGTGATGGGAAGGGGGTAAAGGGGAGGGCAGAGGCAGTAGTTGGCAGTGCCAGCTTGTGTTCCACCCTAACCCCCCCCAACCCCCTCACTCAGACATCTGTGCCCTTCAGACCGGCTGGTGGAAGGGTAGTGTGTGGGCACGCAGGGATGTTAGAGCGCAACAGATGCCCTTACACACACACATACACACTCACACAGGTACTCAAGCCACCACACCACCCTACACACCACCCTGCTAACGGGCACCAGGTTAAACATTAGCATTCTGCTGTGGTTAGCGCGTTAGCGATGAGTGGAGGTGAGCACTGGAGAGACACAGTATTATAGAGACCTCTTCACTGGAATGTCACTTCTACATCTACCACACGCACACACTCACACACATACACACACACACACACACACACACACTTAAAACACAAAGTTTAGACTCACACACACACACACTTTGAACACCTCCATTAGTTTAGACAGTCACACACTGCGACACACACTTCTTTTGACACACACATACACACACACACACACATCAAGGTCACCGACTTGTCAGTGATACACATCGGCTGCAGATCAAGACTGGTACACAGTGCTGTTCCCCTATTTCCTGTCTCTGCAGCTTCACAGATGACGTATCTTCCTCACACTGCGCTCCACTCCACCGCTCTGTGTGTGTGTGTGTGTGTGTGTGTGTGTGTGTGTGTGTGTGTGTGTGTGTGTGTGTGTGTGCGTGCGTGCGTGTGTTTGTGTGTGTTCAATCTCACACTAGTGTTTCTGCATTAGTGCGTGGTTTCCAGATTTGCGTGATATCCCCCTTTTTGGCCAAAGGCGTTCTCGTGGCCAGAGCCATCTGCCACCCAAACTGTAATTTAATTTCACTTATCTTTTTTATGAAGCACAAGTCTAATATAGCAAGCTCATTAAATCAGTGTGATATTTCATTTCATGCCAGTCGCGTTTTCGCTGGCGCTCGATTCGCTCGACTCTGTATCCCATAGACACTCTCTTGATACACAGACACACACACACACATACACACACACACACACACACACACTCATGTAGAGGGCTTAGAAGTCAGCAGAGATGAGACATGGAGAACTGGTATGAGCTGGTTTTGAAGTTTGTCTGTGGCAGGGATGTTTCTATGGGTCTGGGTATTACTGTATGCCTGTTTCCAAATCTATTTCTATCTCCAGTCCTTGAGGGCCACTGTGTATTCTTGTTTTCATCCTAATTACTTTTTAATAACAGTACTTTTTAATTCGATCTGGGCGACTAGGAGTGTTAAATCGTTTGCTTATTAATGAAACAAATCAATCTCATCATGATCATAAATTCCACTCTTTTGAATTTCATTCCCTCCGTTCTGGCGCTCGTACAATCTGTCGGAAGATGACTAGAGGAGGAGGAGGTGGTGGTGCGTGCCAGTGTTGTTGTTTAGCATCCTGCCGGCCGCTGACTGTGACTTTTAGCACATGATTAGACAGTGACTCAGGCATCACACACAGGACAGAGAGAGAGGGAGAGGGAGGATGAGAGGAGGGAAAGAGGGGTGGCAGATGGAGAGGGAGACTATTCTCTAAGAGAGAGAGAGATAGAGAGAGAGAGATAGAGAGATAGATAGATGAGAGAGAGGAGATAAGAGAGAGGAGATCATCTATCGCATCGAGCTATCTTCTCGCTCTCCTCTAGTTAGAGCGCTAGCAGATAGACTCGCTCAGCTATTCATAGCGAGCCCCGCCCATGCTTACGATCCGCCTTCTCCACACGACCTCGCTCGAAGGATAGAATACTAGGGAGGTAAAACAGCCTCCAGGAACTTAATGAGGTGTGCCCCGCTGAGTGGAGAAAGGGCTGTTAATCACTTCCACAACAGTTCAGACTGACACACAGACACTCATCGAGACACACTGCTCACACACACACACACTCTCTTCTCTCTCACACACACACACACACACACACACTCTCACTATCACACATACACACACATACACACTCACACACACACACACTCTGTTTCACATATACACACACACTCACACACACAAACTCACCACTCTCATAAGCTCATTATGTAAAAGCCAGTGAAAGTTTGTCTCATTGTGTCTATCTGGGGCAGAGGGGCTTTTCATGCTGTGTTAGCTCATCAGGATTATTCTGCACAGTACCTCTCTGACATGACTGACTCTGTTTGCGTCCCAAATGGTGCCCTATTCCCTACAAAGTGCACTACTTTTGACCAGGGCCTATAGGGCTCTGGTCACAAGTAGTGCACTATGTAGGGAATAGGGAGCCATTTGGAATGTGGCCTCTGTCTAATACACAGTAGGGATGCACATGTGTTCTGTCTTTGATTCCATAGTGTATTATTACAGAAACATATTTTATTACAGCGAGAGTCGGATGTATGATTAACGGTAATGTAGGCAGATGTCTATGGAACACTAGAGATTCTCTGGAAAATATTTGATTGATTGAGGATGACCATGTGCTCTTGTGTGTCTGATGCTAATTACTGTATTATTACAGCTACAGTTGGATTCTGAACTGATATAAATGTTTTCTTGATTTCTAGGAGGCAGGGTTGGGGTCAATTTAATTCAATTCAACCCAGGAATTGAAATTCGAATTTGAATTGGACACACCCCACCGAAAGCAGAATTTAAATTATATTTTAATGAAAGGAAGTAAAATTTAATTCAAAGCAATTCAAAGAAATTCAACTGAAAGTGAAACATGAAAAGTCATTCCTTTGACACGTTTTACCAAAAGAATCTGTCAATTAATACATAAGAAATACAGATACCATTTAAAATATCAAATTGATTATCACTCATATATGTCAAACAGTATTTTATTTATTTATATTTGTCATGAGATATTAGGTTGTTCCCTTCCATTCTGGAGTGTTTGGTTTGATCTAATGCATTCTGGGAAATGTACTTTTTCTGTTTAGTTTTTTATAACCTGTTAGTGAAATATGAATTAGGAGAATGAAATGTTTCAATCATATGTTAAACATAGTATTGGTTACCATACATTATGTCAAAATTAACATTGTATAGTGTTGTGTTCACATAAATAATTTCCATTTGAATAGCCAAAATCCATTTGAATTTTATTGAATAAAGATTATAATTCCTGTGGGGTGTGGTCAATTCAAATTCAATTCAAATTCTGCTTCCTGTGGGGTTTGGTCAATTCAAATTAAATTCAAATTCTACAATTGAAATGGAATTAAAGGACAATTTGCAACTCAATGGCGAAGGTGCATAAAGATGTTGAAATTCAGATATAATTCAGGTGCTACCACTATCCATAGAGTTTTTTAACGACGGCGCGCTACATAGTTCAATGTGCCAATAAATCAGCACTATCTACTTTTAGCGTTTTTTCAAATTGCCTGCTTCTTGGAGCTTAAATTGGGACCATGTATACTGCGCTAATGATGATACAAAAAAAGAGTAACTAAGAGCAATGTACAATACGGCAAAATTTGCAAACAAGGCATTTGTGGTAAGTACATAGGGGCCACCATCTGCATGGCACTTCCGCTATTCATAATTGACCCCAACCCTGCTAGGAGGATGAACATGTGTTCATGTCTGATACTTAGAGAACCATGTCTACTGTATTATTAAGGCTAGTTGGATGGCTGATGATCACTAAAGCTCTCTCTCAAGTAACCCCAAAAGTACACGTTTGTTGTAACCCCAGACAAACTCACCTGATTCAACTCATTGCGGGCTTGATGATTAGTTGAAAAGTGTAATCAGGTGTGCTTGTCCCGGGCTACAACAACGTGTGCTGTTGGGGGTACTGGAGGAGTTGGGAAACACTGGTCTAATGTATGCAGATGTTCAGTGTCTATTCTGTGTATCGCAATGACTGACTGGCGACGTCTAGTACACTGGGAGATTGAACACGTGTTCATGTCTGATACTTATAAAAACCCGTATTATAGCTGGAGTTGGATGTTTGACGTCTGATGAGCACTAAAGCTCTGTTAATGATGACAACGTGATGATATGTAATGTATGCAGATGATCAGCGTCTATTTTGTGTACATTATGCACCATTATGGAAATTCTCCAACTGTAACATGTAGGCTTTACCACTGATCTCTCCTACACAGTATTTTTTATTCATTATCTTTATGTATTATCTCAGGATGTATTATTCTACTTTAAGAAAACAAAAAATTATGATGTAAATAAACATAAATAAACATTTATATTTTCCCCCAGATCCTGGTGCACGTGGGCTTCCTGACAGAGGAGTCAGGGGATGTGTTCAGCCCCAAGGTCCTGAAGGGTGGTCCCCTGGGGGAGATGGTCCAGTGGGCAGACATCCTCACAGCCCTCCATGTCCTGGGACACAACCTCAAGATCTCCATGTCTCTTAAAGAACTGCAGGGGTGAGTCAGCATATAAACTTTGTTTTGGCTGTTTCTTGATTTGATCATCTTTTGATTGATTGGATTTGTTTGGGTGTTTTATTGTGTGGTGGATTGGAAGCGGCTTCATTGATCTGACCACAGACATTTTGTGCCATTTTGATGAGTCAACTATTGGCCAATACACAGTGTGGCAATTAGCAGGTGCTTTTATCCAAAGCGACTAACAGATCCTCCAAGGTGATGGTGTTAAAAAGCACTTTGTGATCAATAGACAGACGGTGATCATTTGTATTTGATTGCTGTCCATTATAGCACTTTGACCTATCCCTCATGTTGATCCATAGAATTACAATGGGAACACTTACAGTGCCTATAGAAAGTCTACACCCCCTTCAACTTTCACATTTTGCTGCCTTAAAATTGAATCTAAAAAGGGATTCAAATAGATTTTCAAAGTGAAAGAAAGTTATAGAAAATTGCCCAACTAAAACAAAAACAAAAACTGAAATATCTTAATTGGGATAAGTCTCTACCCCCTGAGTTAATACTTGAATCATTTTCATTAAGGATCTACCATCTTTGCACAACTCTTAGGGCAACATATATACATAGTTTCTGTCAAAATTGCTCAGACTCAGCAAATTTGTTTGGGGATCATTGATGGACAGCGATATTTCAACCTTGTCTCAGATTTTTTTAACGCAGATTTAAGTCAGGACTGAGACTAGACCAGTCAGGAACACTCAACAGCTCTTGGACAGCCAATTGGGTGTGTCTTTTGCATAAACATTTGTGTAATTGTCCCACAGAAAAATACAACCCTATCCCAGGGTTAGGTTTTCAGAAGACTGAGGTGGGTTCTCCTCAAACGTTTTACCTGGGCTTTGCTCCTTTCATATTTCTTTTGATCCTAACAAACTCCCGAGTCCCTGTCAGAAAAGTTTCTATAACTTTCTTTCACTTTGAAAATGTGGAGTAAGTTGTGTAGATCTGTAGGAACAAAAATCGAATTGAATCCCTTTTAGATTCAATTTTAAGGCAGGAAAATGTGAAAAGAAAGTGAAAGGGGTTGTAGACTTTCTATAGGCACTGTATTTTAGATAAAGGACCAATTTTCAGGTAGAAAGCTGTAGAAAGCAAGTGAATTATCACTTGGCCATTAAACAGTTAATATATTTTTAACCACATCAATATACCTGCTCTACCTCCCCAGTTAACCCAATACATCAGCCGATCAGAACCACAGACCTGGGCTGTGTCTCAATCGACAAGGATGCTGCCTTTTGAGGCAGCATTTCTAGGCAGGACGTCAAAATTGGTATGTCCCAATCCCAAGGTACCTTAAAATGCTGCTTTCTAAGGTGCCTTCATTGGGCGGTTTTGAAGGCAACATCCCATGTGTCCTTCGCTGGGGAGGCTATCTCATAACCCCTTGCGGCGCATCGAAAATTCAAAACAATTCTGAATTAATGGTGGACACAAGTCCCCGCTTGGGAGAAGATGTCCCAGAAGAATAAGGAATAACTTGGCGAAATGTAAGTATAACGTTGATTTATTCACAAAATTATGTTAAAATGTTCAACAAATTACTTTCATATGAATTTTGAATTCAAATGTTGAGTAACTGTTGTTTATCAGCCCGTTGCAAAGCTAGCTAGCTAGCTAGCTAACACATCATACGTGATAGCTAGCTAACGTTAGGAGGTGATCTCGTCCTGCTTATTGGCTTTTTAGAGATGCACAACTAAACTAACTAGGCCTAATCGTAGATTCAACAATGTGTCAATTGTGAAGACCCGGACTGTTTATAAATCAATTAATTGGTGAACTTTCTAGCCAGCTAAAAACATGCAGCAAATTTGTTTTCAGGGACTAAAGTGAGCACCTGATCGCGTATTACTCCATTGCATAGGCTTGGCAGGAGAAAACAGTCCTGCCTGACTTAATTGGAGGTCAATTTTTTTTTTTACAACATCTGCATACAGCCAGCTGTGTTCTGTTCATTCTAGGCTTGCTAGCCAGCCAAGTTATTTGTGCATTCTGGTGATGAGTCTGTTTAGCAAGTTTGCTTGCTAGCTAGCTGCATGCAGTGTCTGTTTACCTAACATTAACGTGAGCTAACTTTCTCTTGTCACTTTCCCTTCCCCTATTGTTGCACATTGGGTTTGTTGTTACTAGTTAAAATGATAGGCTAAGTTATTCTACTCTTACTGTAAACAACTGAACAAGCCTAAAAATATGCAAAACTGTTAACCAAACGATTGCACATTAATAAAGGTAGTTGTGGCTTCAGTGACTTGAACCAGCTGAAATTTGAGTAGTGAGGTTCATTTCTCCCCCCTTGTCTCTGCTTGTTCCAGCTTGAAGGACATCTCACCCTGACACCCTGCAGATGTAAATAACTTGTTGGGAACATCCCAGCCACCAGGATAATCACCATATCCCAGGATTTTATTAAGGAGTGTGCAACATCACAATGTTAGATAGAAATAGATTCACCCATGTTATTGTTTATCAGCACAGATACAGGAAAACCAATGGCTACAATGTAAACAAACGTCTCGCGCTCGGTGGAATGTGAATGCGTTGTCACATGATGCAGCCTTCGACGCCCGTCCCAAATGGCAGTAACAGTACATTCTGGAAAAGTGCTACCTACTAAGGTAGGTGCCTTTGGAGGCAGATAGGCAGCAGGCAGCTGCCTTTGGATTGGGACACAGCCCTGCAGTCTTCTTATTGAGTTATTTAGTGACCCCATCGATCGCCATCAACCTCCTCTCCAGTCTCCTGTCAATGGTGCAATGCTGTGTCTCTTTCCGCTCCCCTCGTCCAGTCAGCACCTCTTCATGTATCCCCTTTTTGTGCTGATGGATACAGTAGTCGCCGTCTCCTTGCGGTCTCCGGGTGGACTAGATGTAAATCTGTCTCATTGGTTAAGACGCTCCAGGGCCGGTGTCCTGTGTTTGGCTACTAAAAGCAGGGCTAAAGACTCTGTAAATCACAAGAGATCGTCAAACACCGCCAGCCAGAGTTAGTCATATGGAGATGGGTTGGGTATTGTGGTTGGCTGCCAAACCTGTGTTGGGGATTATGAATTGAGTTGTCTTGGACTTTTTCTCGCTTCTTTGATATAAGGAGATGTTTTCACTGTTTTGTGAGCTTCTGACTAAGTGAAGTGCCCCACTCAATCCCACTCGCTGTCTGTCTCTTTCTGTACTTTCTCCTTTCCAAACATTCCCTTTGTTTCTCTCTATGTCCTTGTATATCCTCTTCTTGTCTGTCTCTTTTGTTCTCTCTCTTTCATATCTTGTGTTCTCTCTGTCTCTGTTTACACCCCTCTCTCTCTCTCTCTCTCTCTCTCTCTCTCTCTCTCTCTCTCTCTCTCTCTCTCTGTCTTTCTCTCTCTGTCTCTCTCTCTCTCCCTCTCTCTATCTATCTTCATTGCATTCTCGCTTCAAGTGCTATCAAACGAAGTTGTTTGCTATAAACCAGTTTACCATTGTTGACTTGAAACTCTGCACCTACTCCCTTATTTCCCATGACCCCCTGCTTTCACCAGGACAAAGAACATTGGCCTTTTCGATTCGACAGATGTGATATTACAAGCAATTTAGCTGTCACTGGGGGAAACGCAATTATTTTTGTTATTCCCCCTCTATCGGTCTGTCTTTTGATTTGGCTTTGATAAACAGAAATGGTTCTATCGATGATTTTTTGGTTAACACATCGCTGGACAAAATAATTGGGACGTACAAGAGGTTGACATCACGAAGAAGGGGAGAACGCTCTCACGATGTCAGCGCAACAGAGCATGAAGGGTCATCCTTTGTTAGTATGGGGTCATTATATTTAAAGGTGTTGTTGCCCCTTTACACATGTTTGCTGTAGCTCTCTCTGCCTAAGTGAGGACACAGACAAGCGTGCCCCTTTAAGATGGCAGATTTGCTGTTTGAAGAGTAACTATTGATTTTTGTTGGCAGCCAAGTGCGACACAACGACATGAAAAATGTTTCGTTTCGCCGTCATGTCGCAAACATCCCAAGGCATTGTTTTGAACAGCTTTTCTTGTTTATTTATTTTTCTTCTATCCCAGAATAAAACAAAAGCCACTTATCATTGAGGCTCATCTGAAATGTTTGTTTCGTACGTATCTCACTGTTTTTCTGATGACAAATTGCAATCAGCCCTTTTGTCAGTTATCAAATGAGGCAGAGAAAACAACAAATAATTCGTCTTTCAGATACTACTTTTACAGATTTGATTGCATTACATTTAGCACATCATCTGGTTTTGAAATCAGCTCAGTTAAACAATGTACACTATATACTCTTATCTCCCTCACTAACTTTAAGCATCAGTAGTCAGAGCAGCTTACCGATCACTGCACCTGTACACAGCCCATCTGTAATTAGCCCACCCACCCAACTACCTCATCCCCATATTGTTATTTATTTTGCTCATTTGCACCCCAGTATCTCTATTTGCACATCATCTTCTGCACATCTATCACTCCAGTGTTAATACTAAATTGTAATTATTTTGCACTATGGCCTATTTATTGCCTTACCTCCATAACTTACTACATTTGCGCACACTGTATATATATTTTCTATTGTGTTTTTGACTGTATGTTTTGTTTATTCAAATCAAATCAAATCAAATTGTATTGGTCACATGCGCCGAATACAACAGGTGCAGACATTACAGTGAAATGCTTACTTACAGCCCTTAACCAACAGTGCATTTATTTTTAACAAAAAAAGTAAAAATAAAACAACAACAAAAAAAGTGTTGAGAAAAAAAAGAGCAGAAGTAAAATAAAGTAACAGTAGGGAGGCTATATATACAGGGGGGTACCGTTGCAGAGTCAATGTGCGGGGGCACCGGCTAGTTGAGGTAGTTGAGGTAATATGTACATGTGGGTAGAGTTAAAGTGACTATGCATAAATAATTAACAGAGTAGCAGCAGCGTAAAAAGGATGGGGTGGGGGGGCAGTGCAAATAGTCCGGGTAGTCATGATTAGCTGTTCAGGAGTCTTATGGCTTGGGGGTAGAAGCTGTTGAGAAGTATTTTGGACCTAGACTTGGTACTCCGGTACCGCTTGCCGTGCAGTAGCAGAGAGAACAGTCTATGACTAGGGTGGCTGGAGTCTTTGACAATTTTGAGGGCCTTCCTCTTATTCCATATGTAACTCTGTGTTGTTGTTGTTTTTATCGCACTGCTTTGCTTTATCTTGGCCAGGTCGCAGTTGTAAATGAGAACTTGTTCTCAACTGGCTTACCTGGTTAAATAAAGGTGAAATCAAATAAATAAATAAATATAGAACAACAGCCCACATAAAGAAGGCTTGAAAGTTTTGCCCATTCCCCACGGTCCCTGTCTGTCAATGAGGTAGATGGATGGATAGATGATTCTATTAGAATGGATAGATGAATAAGTGGACAGGGAGAGCCTATAGGGAGGAGGGGGGAGGTACTATAGCACTGCTTCAGCACCAGTGTGTGTGTGGGTTTTGATTGTATTTACTGTGAACAAAGAGGCTCATATAATCCTATCTGTTGTCCATTTTATTGTTAAAGCTATGAATGTGGAATCACAGCAGGGTCCAGTGTTATCTAGTACTACTAATCCATTATTCTGGTTGTGGTAGCTACTGTACACACACACACACACACACACACACACACACACACACACACACACATTGAATATAGCCAGTGCCTGTGTATTCTGCTGAGTCTGCATTCTCCTCTATGGGCCTATAAAGAATTGCATAATGGAGATGAGACCCAATTTACAGACAATTAGATAGACCACAGCCCAGATATATTACAACAACAATTGTCACAGCCACCCAAGTCATAGCCTGTTAACCAAATAGCTACCTGCATTTGACCCCTTTTTGCACTAACTCTTTTGACTCATCACATACACTGCTGCTACTGCTTATTATCTATCCTGTTGCCTAGTTACCTTACCTCTACATATATGTACATATCTACCTCAATTACCTCATACCCCTGCACATCAACTCTGTACTGGTACCCCATGTATATAGCCAAGTTATCATTACTCATTGTGTATTTATTCCTCGCGTTATTATTTTTATATAATGTTTATATTTTTCTCCATGCATTGCTGGGAATTAAGTAAGCGTTTCACTGTTAGTCTACACCTGTTATTTACGAAGCATGTGACAATTTGATTTGATTTGATTACCAGCATTACTGGCGAGGACAGGGCTGTCCATCTTATACACCTAATTTACATATGTACAATCCACTTCAAATTAGTGGATTCGGCTATTTCAGCCACACCCGTTGCTGACAGGTGTATAAAATCGAGCACACCGCCATGCAATCTCCATAGACAAACATTGGCAGTAGAATGGCTTAGTGAAGAGCTCAGTGACTTTCAACGTGGCACCGTCATAGGACCTTTCCAACAAGTCAGTTCGGCAAATTTCTGCCCTGTTAGAGCTGCCACGGTCAGCTGTAAGTGCTGTTATTGTGAAGTGGAAACGTCTAGGAGCAACAATGGCTCAGCCGCGAAGTGGTAGGCCACACAAGCTAACAGAACGGGACCGTTGAGTTCTGAAGCGCAGCGTGGAAAAATTGTCTGTCCTTGGTTGCAACACTCACTACCGAGTTCCAAACTGCCTCTGGAAGCAACGTCAGCATAAGAACTGTTCGTCGGGAGCTTCATGAAATGGGTTTCCATGGCCGAGCAGCCGCACACAAGCCTAAGATCACCATGCGCAATGCCAAGCGTCGACTGGAGTGGTATAAAGCTCGCCGCCATTGGACTTTGGAGCAGTGGAAACGCGTTCTCTGGAGTGATGAATCACGCTTCACCATCTGGCAGTCCGACGGACGAATCACGGTTTGGCGGATGCCAAGGAGATCGCTATCTGCCCCAATGCCATGTGCCAATTGTAAAATTTTGTTGGAGGAGGAATAATGGACTGGGGCTGTTTTTCATGGTTCGGGCTAGGCCCCTTAGTTCCAGTGAAGGGAAATCTTAACGCTACAGCATACAAAGCCATTCTAGACGATTCGGTACTTCCAACTTTGTGGCAACTGTTTGGGGAAGGCGCTTTCCTGTTTCAGCATGACAATGCCCCCGTGCACAAAGCGAGGTCCATACAGAAATGGTTTGTCGAGATCGGGGTGGAAGAAAACGACTGACCTGCACAGAGCCCTGACCTCAACCCCATCGAACACCTTTGGGATGAATTGGAACGCCGACTGCGAGCCAGGCCTAATCGCCCAACATCAGTGCCCGACCTCACTAATGCTCTTGTGGCTGAATGGAAGGAAGTCCCTGCAGCAATGTTCCAACATCTAGTGGAAAGCCTTCCCAGAAGTGTGGAGGCTGTTAAAGCAGCAAATGGGGGACCAACTCCATATTAATGCCCATGCTTTTGGAATGAGATGTTCGACAAGCAGGTGTCCACATACTTTTGGCCATGTAGTGTATAAGTGTCTGGGTATGGAGGAAAAAGGGTGGGGTCTTTATATTAGATGACAACACTGCATAATAACCCCTCTCTAAACTAAATCTGATATTAAACAGTTGAGTCATAGTTGTGTCTCCATGGTAGCCCACAGCAATACTATCTACATATTACATGGTTGTTGATGCATACATATTTTGTTTTGTAACTCTGTGTTTTGTAACTCATACTGCATGTGGTTTAATCTGTGAAAAGTAGGCTTTATAGGTCCCTTTGGGCAGCTGTTGGTCATGAAAAGAGGAAGGACAGAGGAGGGAGAGGCTCTCATTTTCTACTTCCTTTATTCACAATCACATTGGAGGAAGGACTACTCTCCTCTCATCCACTGGATCTGTTCATTCACTTCCCACTCCTCTACTGACCAGTACATTATTCAGATAAGTATTTTCCCCTATTCCGCATGTTCCCTCTCTCCCCTCTCTAGTTCTACTTTAAATCTCCTGTATGAGTCAGCAGCAGTTTAAGACACTTTGCAGAAGCTAGATATTCTCCTTTGAGATTCACTCAGATATGTCACG